ACATTCCGAATGATGATAAAAAACCTGGTAACTGCTCTCCTTCTGTCAAAAGTTCTCCTGGGATAGAATTTTCGCTGTCAGTTTGCGTGGGATCAATGAATTTCAATGCAAGATGTACCTTCAGAATGAATTTTTCAAAAATAAAAACAGAAAGATTCGATGAAAATGCACTCAATATTATTTATAACTCGTTATGCTTGTGATATATAATATATATCAGGGATAAAGATTTTTCATTTCAGTATCAAATCCTATTACTTATCGATCTTTAGATCCTCGCTTTCATGAGATATTGCGTGTATCTAACAGACAGACAAACAAACAAACGAGAATATCGGTCGGAGACCGAAGACTTATCGATCGAAACTACGGTTTCGATTTATGACTCTATAGTGACACCGCGTGTCCCATCACTAATTAAATAATAACTTGCTAATTATACGACATAATTCATCCAAAATCGATAGGATTCTGGTCCGAGATATGATGAATGCACATGCAAAATTTGGAGCAGATTCAACCACGCCTTCGTGAGATATCGCGTGCATCTAACAGACAAACAGACAAATACCTTACCGATCTTAAGATCGATAAGTAATTATGCGCAATGTTTTGTCCCATAAAACTCCTTATTCCTGGAATGTGATAGTAACTGGTAATACTTTGTTATTAGTTGCAGCAGTATTATGGTACATGGAAAGTGCGGAAATCTGCAAATTTATTCACAACTGTTTATCGGGAAATGAGTATACATCATACCGGATACAGAGACTACCGAACAAACTAGTATGAACCACCTATATAAAATACAATACAATCGTTTGTGAAGAATTGCCATTTTACTAAGGGATGAAGAGGGATTTTACAATGTAATAGATGAAAGTAATAAATTGTGTCCAGTATACTCAAGTTCTACTTATAATTACATCCTATAGCAAAGAATTCGTTATTTAAAATATCTCAATATTTTACTTACGTTTCCAGTGTACGGGGTCACACCGTCTTCCATAAAAAATGAGTTTGCGGGGAAAACAACTGACACGTCTTGATTGGTTCCTATTGATGGCACGGTGTGTCCGTCAGTTGAGATGAACATTATGGCATTAGGCTTCTTAATGGCGTCGATTGTCACAAAGTATACATTCGTTTCACTTACTGTATTAACAACCTGTCAAGCAAAATTCACTTGGTCATTGCACTGCATAATGAGTACATGGTATATACTTGCTATTGTTAGACTTTGACAATTACATGTTATAACCACTCGTAACAATAACTAAATATTGTTTTTACCTTGACTTGTCTGTAAAACTTATGGATGTCATCCACCGCAGAAAATACAATCCGATCGCTGGACTGAGGTGTGCCTGTTTCGAATTGAAATTTTCCTTCAATATCTGCCCTTGCTACTTCAATATTGTTCATCTCTACTGCGAAATTACTACACATGGAACCAGTTGTGTCACAATTATTTATTCTGTAAATATTAGCAATGGATGAAACCAATATTTGACATTTTTCAATTTGTGACTTATTGAAGTATATATTTCGAATCAATTTGTATTTCCTACAAAATCATTTTTCAGTTCAAAGTCCAATATTCAGTATAAATTAAAAATATCATCCGGGAGTATATATTTATATTGAATACTTAAAGATAAAATAAAATATATATCGTAGTCTCGTTGAAAAATTCAAAAATTCTCTTGTTTTAGATTAATTCGTTGTTATTCAATTCCTTTTTTGCTTATTTTACATGCTTACGTTCCAGCAATAACAGTGGTTGGCTCTTGGCAGGGTGAGCAAGTACATTTATCCACGACTGTAACTTCGATAGTTTGACCTAAATTAATGAAATAATGATCGAAAAAGAACGAATTTCAAACTAATCAATAAACTTTACAGCCTCAGATGAACCACGTTTGCATGTAAACTATGATTTACATGTGGTCGTGGTACACGTCAGAACAAAATTTGTTTTAGTGACATTCTTGGAGCATATTCGCTTGATATATATATAAATGTAGGAATATCGCCAAAAAATTGACGAATCCATGATAAATATTGGACTTGAAGGGGACCTACGACTCGTTTTGGTATTATGTTGTTGTTCTTCTTCAAACTACTGCACCAATTGCTTTAAAATTTTTAGTAGTTAAAGCTTGTTGTTGTCGCTAGAAGAATATTGCTTTCATTTATTTCAAAAATATCTTTTGGCTCTATAGAATTCGTTTCATAGGTAACCAAAATTGAAAATAGCGTGTCGTGGTTTCGTGATCACATCTCAGTGATCTGGTGGCCAGACTACCGGTACTGAAAAATAATTGACACAACACCGTATTGGCATCTATTGCCATATATTTGAGCAATCATTTTGGAGCAATGACAACTCAATAACAAACAATCAAAATTGTTAAAGATTGTAATAATTCTTCATGTTTCGTTTTATGTCGGTTGCTTTCTATTTAAACAAATGGTCAGATCAAGTTGTACTATTGATAAATGAAGTAAACGTGTTTGAATGATAAACAAAAATATGCTCTAACCTTCGCACGTGACTTCTTTTTGTTTATGTACTGGTCCACAACATTTTCTCTCGTTACTGTAGCACGATATGCATTCCTGCAATGAGCATGAACCGTAATCAGTAGTACAGCCAGCCTGTACTTCTCGTATATCTGGCGATGGTTGAACTGTGCATCCTTAAACATAATTTTGTACATTATATCCGATTAGAACAAAGTTCTCTTGCTTTTACCATAAATGAAAATGGAATGGAAAATTATTTTGTAAAAAAATCTGTTTGATGAGTTGAATACGGGCTTGTTGCCAAATTTCAATCAAAACATATAGTTTTTCAAACAATTCACTGCGGTGCAGCGGTCTGGATCAAATTCAATTTTAGTATATACTTATTTATGATAATTTTTTTTTTCATTGAGAAATAAGGTAAGTTCGACGGATTACTTTAAAATATTCAATATGATCAAGTCTTAACGATTGTCAGATAATTTAAACTTTATAAAACAGATGAATTTGAGAGATTAGCATTGTTCGATAAAACTGTTGTAATCACATTGAACTGTAGAATTCTAACTTACAGGAATTTATATTTAGGCGGCTATGCCTATTCTTATTTTTTACAGGGATATTCCTTACCTGTTCCGTAAACAACTTTCACGAAAAAACTCAATAATATACAAAATATGATATTCATTCTTCTCCGGGCGTAATTTAATTTTCTCAAATTGTTTGCTGTTTCTTTTTTCTATCTACTGATTGCGTGTCTGTAGAATGAATACAATATGCCCCTTCCTTATATTTTTTATAGCTGCGAATGATCGGTAAGAGGATGAGGAAAGTCTTTCAGGATGTGATTCATCATTCTATGAAAATTCCTACAAAAGAAACAAAGAATTCTGCTTAAGGCAATTCTATACAGGTGCTTAGTTTATATCTACTGATGTACTTAATACATAGAGTTATACCAAAAACCTTTCACATTCAATTTTTTTCGAATAAATTGACAAGGAAAGTTTTTAATAAGTTTTTATTACTTAGCTAACAACACATTTAATTGCATTATTCGCGTAAACTACTTTTTAAAACAACGTTTTACAGATTGTCTCTCAGATGCAATATATTTCTGTGAGCACACCCTGATTTTTCCATCACTCTCTCAGTCATTTCGCGTGGAATTTAATTTACTGATTTGCAAACGGAAGCTTTCAGTTTATCATCGTTTATTGGTCTTAGTCGGTGCTTGTCCACCTACCCTTGAGATAACAACTAAATTTTGTTAGATAGTGTCGATTTGACTAAGCACCTACAATTAGTGAATAGATCGGCGATGGGCAAGATTTTTGAGCCAGGGGTCAAAAAATTTGCCCACCTAGACAGGCGGGCCATGTGAGTGTGACGTAAAAATGACATTTCATGACCAATATTTACATTGTCACAAAAAAGTGGAATACAATAAGCCTCGTACCAAAACTAAATTTAATCGCCATCTCAACAAATTCCTTGAGCTATTTTTATAGCTAAAACATCAAAATTTGGTTTCAATTTGGTTGTGGCAGCATCAGGCAAGACAGATTGAATTACCCAACGGGCGGGCCCGCGGGCCGTACTTTACCCATGTTAGGAATAGATAGATGACGTCAGATCTAATGGGCAACAGATACGGGTTTACCTGCATATTAATATGAATATAGCAATGACATGACTCGTGAATTCTTCCCGATTTATGCGGACACCTAGCTAAGATATTCGAAAAGCATAACAAGATTTAATTTACAGTCATACCTCTGCAGTCGAGCATAATTTGTTCGGGTAGGACTGATGATTTGTTCGAACATCGAAATTTTTCGCCGTAAGAAATAATGTTAATTATTTTAATTTTTTCTTACGCACACCAATATACCCAAGATTTTACCAAAAGGTGTACCTAAACAACAATAATTATTTAAATGTGTACTCAATAAAGAAAAAATATATAAACAGTTTCGTATCAGTTACTACGTTTAGCAAATGTCTGTAAACTAATGAAATTCGTTTTTTGTGTGCGTTGACGTGCGCGTTAGACTTGAAGCTTGCCGTACCTTTAGTATACTGTGACAGATTGTATACCCGTACTACCTCGTATTTGGTTCGCGGCCATATTTTGAGCATCTCTCTCTTTCTTAGTGGTCAGGGGCAGCCGAGATTCGAGTTCTGCAGCATTTTTGACTAGAATTTTTTGCTCAACTATAGAATTATTCGAGTATCGAGTCGTTCGTCTACCGAGGTATCACAGCGACATAATGGACATCTGTACCTTTTCTTTTATTGTGAAATCATAAGTGATTTCCTTAACAAATTCATATATATATATATATATAAACCACATCCAACTATAGGTGAATACGATTTTATTAATATAACGTTTTATGCCAAATAAAGTACAACGAGAATACTTTACTTTCATTGATTCTATGATATGGTAAAAGTATATAGCCCTCTTTAATTATAGGCAACTACATTTGTTTCATGGAACATCGACAGTAGAAGTGACAGACGGGGTAATAACTAATGCTTCAAACGATCCACCTATGCATTTCTCTCTTGCATCGGCTTTTGCTATAAGTGGATGAATTGTACTCTCGCTGTGATATGTTCCATCATCTGTCACCGTGAAATCTGTTGGTGCTGGTCCAGCGAAGCTGGATTGTCCTATCTGTGCATTGGCGGCAGTGATCTCATCAGTAGATGCAAACATTTTCTCATTTACTTGATTAAGTGTGTAGTAAGAGTAATCGCCATCAAACACAGGTCGAACAAGTAGTTCCGTTCTGTCAAAATCTCCGTCAGATAGACTACTTCTGTGAATATATAAAAAAAAATATTTTCTAGAAATTGTAGGTTAAAATGAAACTTCAAATCATATATATGTATGTGTGTGTATGTGTGTGCGTTTTTAAGTTTTAAACATTTTTGAAATAAGATTAACAAACTTGTATCCTCTAGTAATCTGGGGATACCATGACGTAGTCTTGCTCTATTTATAATACCGTAATTTATAACTAGATTAGCCTTTAACGTCAGTTTATTCCCAAATCTGAGTCCGAATTAAAAATGTAGAAAAAGTCATCATTCTGTTAACTAGTGCAGTTACTTACGGGCACTTGTATTCAACACATACTGCAATTCCGATGGCATAAGACGTTCGCTTGCCATATAGTTTATCGGCAGTTACAGAATGAGTTCCCCCAAGGCTCTCAATCTCTACTTTTTCTTCGTTTGCCGGAAAAACGTTTCGTCTCTTTCTTTCCCTTTCCCCTCCAATGCCTATTTCAATCTGAAATAAGTGAATATTTCAATTTTACCCCAATGCGTCTTTGACAGCAATTCTACTATTGAATTGACATTGGTATTTAAGTATTTGAATAATTGTCGTTTCATTAAATATTCTTTATTAAAATACTCAACATTATTTTATTTCAGTGCAAGCTTTAATATAACATATTTCACGACCAATTTAACGACACACTTTCTATCTCAATTTTATGTGAAAGGGTATCAAAATAATGATCGTGTAATCCGTTTATCCACCGTGAACTATACCGAAAAGAAACTTACGAGCGACTTTGTGTATTATTTTTAAATTTAAGGATGTGGCATTAAAATCCAGCGACGGTTAAATGATACAAATTGAAATGATAAAGAAAATCATCCATTTTTAGTATTGTAAAACTAAATGTTAATAATAATGTTATTAATATGAAATATAGATAAAAATAGTAACAGGTAACTAATTATTAAGGTGCTTTGAAAGGCATGAAAAATATTAAACATATACACATTCTTATATTAATCCTGTTGTCCATATCGAATATAAAACATACACGCATGTAACAAGCATGGAAACTGTTCATATCTGGCCACCATGCCAAAACATCGTTTATCGCAGGTTGTTCTTCAATTTTTTCTTCATTAAATGGAATTGTATTGATTTCCTCATCTACCGGTAGTTCCCTTGATTGAAATTTAGCTATATTATGGAACGGTTATTACCAAAACATATGAGTAATTTGCATATGGCTTATTTGATTTTTCTAATGACGACTTTTAGGAATTTTCAAAATGTCAAGTTAATTGAATTGTATTATTGCATTTAAATAGTTTCCTATTTGTTTTGAGACGCAGAGTAAAGTATGCATGCCACGGTAATGCTTGGATATTGCATTACTCCAGATGTTTTTTTGTCCTCTGAATCAGCAATGAGAATTAATTCGGAACGTACTTTTACTGATTTTTACGAGTTTTATTCTGATTTTTTAAAGTTTGTATAACATAAAATCGTGAATACTAAACTCGAATTGGAATAGTTTTGGTAAATTATCCAAAGCTCACATGCACACTAAAATAGCGTTGTGTAGTTGGCGCTGTGTCAAAAATGTCAGCGGATATCTATTGACGTCCTAGTCGCAATGTCATAGAAACAGCTAAGAAAGAATTTTTGAAATTTTGATGATTGCTCTCGTCAATGTTAAGATACGATTGCTGATGTTTACTATATCAATAAATCAGAAATAAGTATATCTGTAATGCCATTCTTTGAAGGATTGCTCCTTGTATTTATTTCACCTGCCAAAGCCAAAATAAGCCTCATTGAATGCAGCATTGTAACATTCACTCCAGTCACTATAGATGGGTCCATTTGTGTTATCCACTATGTTTTGGCCGGCTGGTATTGTAATTGTAAAACTTGTTGTTTCATCGCTGGAATAATTATTTTAAATTGTCATTAATAATTTAAAAAACAATCTTCACAAATAAAAACAATCATATACAAATAAATTATATGAAAACATGATATACGTGAACTGCATGTAATATCTTTCAATAGCTATTTTGTATGAACCAAATAATATTATTTTTAAAATTGCATATAATATGTACAAATTATTTCCAAGCACTAATATGAAAAAAAATTAATTTAAGTGGAGAACTTTCTATTAGTTTAACGGATATTTAATTTTATTTTATATTTACCTGTACCCAAGAAGAGTTTGATCTGATGCAGAAACAGTTGTGGAAACTGTACAATATCTGTCAGCTTCAATTTAAAAAATAAAACAATTTTTTTTTTTAAAGGCTTTACGCAAATTGTAGTCAAATGACATCAGCTTCATTGACATCAAATAACAGAATTCGCACTTTTGACTATCGTTTCCCGAAAAAACTTGAATCTATTTCTATTATAATATCAAAAGCTATTATAGTATCAACAGTTGATAGCGATATTCGCAAGTGCTCTTATGATCCCAATGACAATATGACTTGATAAAGTACTTGAAGTAGTAGAAGTCTTTGATTATATTGAGAAAATGCATATAAGATATTGCAGTTGAATGCAACACTGTGGATATACATGTATGTCAAAGGTCGTAAATTAAAGTATGAACTTGATGATTTAAGAAAGTTTTAAAGGAAGATTGTGATATTCCAATGATTTTTCAGAATATTATATTTTCACAGGGTTATCTTTTCTATCGCAGTTTTTTCTATACCTGCAACTTTGACACTATTTAAAACAGTTGCATCACAAGGGACTGATACACATATTCCATTGTTGCCAGATTTTCTTCTTAGAAAATTCCTCCATCCCGGACTCCCACTCGCACCAGTTCTAGCATATAGTGATGTAACATCTGCCCCGCTAACTTGATTGTTTTCTGTTTGTGTTTGACCCACAAATAGTCGTACTGAGTTGCATAAAAATATACATTTATGATTGTTTGTTTTACGACAAGGCAAACATAGAAATGCCTTTATGTTAATATATAATACTTTATTTTTGACAAATATGCCACACAAAAAAATATATACTTTGTCGGAATGACAAGATGAGTAGATTGCATTGGATGTTATTTAGAGTTAGAATCCAAAAAATTATTCATAATTGGAAGTAAAGAAGTTTGATTTATAATTAAAAATTGTTAATTAAAAAAGTTGTAATTAAAAAAGTTACCTTTCATGTGACAATACGAAATTAATAGTTTGTCTAAATTCCAAATCCGTGTTAGATCAGTTACGTCAATACTTGCTGCTATAAAATCATTTCCTCCTCGTTTTTTTCTTCGCTTCGCAGTCGGGTCTGTGCTAGAAACCTTATTTAAAATAGACAAAGGACTGTAATGCCGTATAATTTGGAACTGTGAACCCGGGATTCTGAAATGTTAGATATTGTGGACACGAATTTGGCTAATGGGTGGTTTTGCTAGATTGTTGCAGTTAAAAATCTCTTTCATGTCTTTCTGGGACAATTGCTTCCACAGCAATAAAAAATGAAAAAAAAAATATCTTGAATTTTATCCGTCAACTTCAGATTCCGTCCTGATCTATATTTCAAACCCAAAATCTAGCTGTTCTACTTAAGTTAACAATTTATATATCATTGGTCTTCGTTTCAATTTAATTCGGCATTGATCTTTCATTTGTTTCATAATATATCGCTCACTTCATGTATTATTATATATCTAAATTGCACTTATTTTTATTGAATATTTATAAACTTCTTTTTGTTTCTGTTAATGGGCTCACTACTTAGAATTAGATCATTCATACGACACCGCCCTATTTACTGGGATCTTCAAAATGGCTTCATCGCATGCAAACTAAGCAGGATATGATTGGGTTAATTTTTCGTAATTGTATTTTTTGTCCAGTCTTTTACTGTTATTCATCGTGTTTTATGTGTTATTCACTCACCGACATTGTTGGCCCTTGTTCCCAAAAACCTGTGGCATCGTTTAAACTCCACAAACTCAAACCCTGTGTTTGACCCAAGGTCAGACTGTTTGTTCTCAAATATATTTCAACCTGACAAAGTGAGCAATAAATAGAATGTTAAAATAAAATTAATTCATTTTCTTCATCCTTAACATTTTTGAACTCATGCCATGCAATTTTTTTCTGATTAAACAATGGAAACCTGTGTTTTGACAATAAAACCTGTGTAACAATGACATGCACTTTTTTTAAATAATTGATTTGAGGACGATTGAAAAATTAACATTTATTCAGGCCGTTCAAATAATCTGCTTTTGAAACTGTTGCTAATTGATTATTTTAAAAAAATTGATATATTACAGACTTAGACTAATTCAGTGCAAAAATTTATTTTATTTTGTGAATTCAGTGATACGAATTTTTGTACATACTTGACGTGCAGTCAGTGGATTTCCAGCGTCGTCCGTCAAATCAAACAACAACATTCCAAATGATGATAAAAAACCTGGTAACTGCTCTCCTTCTGTCAAAAGTTCTCCTGGGATTGAATTTTCGCTGTCAGTTTGCGTGGGATCAATGAATTTCAATGCAAGATGTACCTTCAGAATGAATTTTTCAAAAATAAAAACAGAAAGATTCGATGGAAATGCACTCAATATTATTTATAACTCGTTATGCTTATGATATATAATATATATCAGGAATAAAGATTTTTCATTTCAGTATCAAATCCTATTACTTATCAATCTTTAGATCCTCGCTTTCGTGAGATATCGCGTGTATCTAACAGACAGACAAACAAACAAACGAGAATATCGTTCGGAGACCGAAGACTTATCGATCGAAACTGCGGTTTCGATTTATGACTGTATAGTGACACCGCGTGTCCTATCACTAATTAATTAATAACTCGCTAATTATACGACATAATTCATCCAAAATCGATAGGCTACTGGTCCGAGATATGATGAATGCACATGCAAAATTTGGAGCAGATTCAATCACGCCTTCGTGAGATATCGCGTGCATCTAACAGACAGACAAACAGACAAATACCTATCAACATACTTACCGATCTTAAGATCGATAAGTAATTATGCGCAATCTTTTGTCCCATAAAACTCCTTATTCCTGGAATGTGATAGTAACTGGTAATACTTTGTTATTAGTTGCAGCACTATTATGGTACATGGAAAGTGCGGAAATCTGCAAATTTATTCACAACTGTTTATCGGGAAATGAGTATACATCATACCGGATATAGAGACTACCAAACAAACTAGTATGAACCACTCGTATAAAATACAATACAATCGTTTGTGAAGAATTGCCATTTTACTAAGGGATGGAGAGGGATTTCACAATGTAATAGATGAAAGTAATAAATTGTGTCCAGTATACTCAAGTTCTACTTATAATTACATCCTATAGCAAAGTATTCGTTATTTAAAATATCTCAATATTGTACTTACGTTTCCAGTGTACGGGGTCACACCGTCTTCCATAAAAAATGAGTTTGCGGGGAAAACAACTGACACATCTTGATTGGTTCCTATTGATGGCACGGTGTGTCCGTCAGTTGAGATGAACATTATGGCATTAGGCTTCTTAATGGCGTCGATTGTCACAAAGTATACATTCGTTTCACTTACTGTATTAACAACCTGTCAAGAAAAATTCACCTGGTCATTGCACTGCATAATGAGTACATGGTATATACTTGCTATTGTTAGACTTTGACAATTACATGTTATAACCACTCGTAACAATAACTAAATATTGTTTTTACCTTGACTTGTCTGTAAAACTTATGGATGTCATCCACCGCAGAAAATACAATCCGATCGCTGGACTGAGGTGTGCCTGTTTCGAATTGAAATTTTCCTTCAATATCTGCCCTTGCTACTTCAATATTGTTCATCTCTACTGCGAAATTACTACATATGGAACCAGTTGTGTCACAATTATTTATTCTGTAAATATTAGCAATGGATGAAACCAATATTTGCATTTTTCAATTTGTGACTTATTGAAGTATATATTTCGAATCAATTTGTATTTCCTACAAAATCATTTTTCAGTTCAAAGTTTAATATTCAGTATAAATTAAAATTATCATCCGGGAGTATATATATATTGTATATATACTTAAAGATAAAATAAAATATATTTCGTAGTCTAGTTGAAAAATTCAAAAATTCTCTTGTTTTAGATTCATTCGTTGTTATTCAATTTTTTTTTCAACTTATTTTACATGCTTACGTTCCAGCAATAACAGTGGTTGGCTCTTGACAGGGCGAGCAAGTACATTTATCTACGACTGTAACTTCGATAGTTTGACCTAAATTGATGAAAAAATGATCAAAAAAGAACGAAATTCGAACTAATCAATAAACTTTACAGCAACAGATGCCGAAGTTTGCATTTAGACTATGATTTACATGTTCTTTCTTACGACGGTTATGGACGCTCTAGTCTGGGTCAAATATAGTAGACGGATCAATCCTGTTATAAAACAATTATCATTTGGCATATCCCAAAATATTAGGTCGGAGTCGTGGTACACAACACAAAATATGTTTTGGAGACATTCTTGGAGCATCTTCGCTTTGAAACATAAATGTAGGAATATCGCCCAAAAATAGCCGAATTCATAATTCCATTCAAAAATATCTTTTGGCTTTATGGAATTTGTTTCATAGGTAACAAAAATTGAAAATAGCGTGTCGTGGTTCCGTGATCACATCTCAGTGATCTGGTGGCCAGACTACCGGAACTGTAAAATATTTGATACAACACCGTATTGGCATCCATTGCCATATATTTGAGCAACGATTTTGGAGCAATGACAACTCAATAACAAACAAACAATCAAAATTGTTAAAGAGTGTAATAATTCTTCATGTTTTCGTTTTATTTCGGTTGCTTTCTATTAAAACGATTGGTTAGATCAAGTTGTACTATTGATAAATGAAGTAAACGTGTTTGAATGATGAACAAAAATATGCTCTAACCTCCGCACGTGACATCTTTTTGTTTATGTACTGGTCCACAACATTTTCTCTCGTTACTGTAGCACGATATGCATTCCTGCAATGAGCATGAACCGTAATCAGTAGTGCAGCCAGCCTGTACTTCTCGTATATCTGGCGATGGTTGAACTGTGCATCCTTAAACATGGTTTTGTATATTATATCCGATTAGAACAAAGTTCTCTTGCTTTTACCATAAATGAAAATGAAATGGAAAAATATTTTGTAAAAAAATCTGTTTGATGAGTTGAATACGGCTTGTTACCAAATTTCAATCAAAACATATAGTTTTTCAAACAATTCACCTGCGGTGCAGCGGTCTGGATCAAATTCAATTTATATATATATTTATTTATTTAAATTTTATTTTCCTTGTGACATAAGGTAAGGTCGACGGATTACTTTAAAATATTCAAAATGATCAAGTCTAAACGATTGTCAGATAACTTGAACCTTATAAAATATGAATTTGAGAGATTAGCATTGTTCAATGAAACTGTTGTAATCTAGTGTGCCGGAATTTATATTTAGCCGGCCATGTCTATTCCTATTTTTTACAGGGATATTCCTTACCCGTTCCGTAAACAATTTTCACCAAAAAACTCAATAATACACAAAATATGATATTCATTCTTCTTCGGGGCGTAACTCAGTTTTCTCAAATTGTTTGCTCTTTCCTTTTTCTATCGGTTGATGGCGTACCTGTAGTATGAAGACAATATGCCTCTTCTGTATTTTTTATAGCTGCAAATGATCGTTAAAAGGAAAAGGAAATTCTTACAGGATGTGATTCACCATTCTATGGAAATTGTTTAATGCGTCGGAAAGACTTCTCGCAAAACATTCATTGATTTTTGTTGTATGGCGGTTGCTTCATTTGCTTGCTGAAAGCATACCGTTGTATTTTTCCTTAGATCCTTGAATTTGTCGACACTTTTTACAGCATCTGCACATAACGAGCTGATATAACCGCTCTCCCTCCTCCTCGAAAAAGTAAGGACTGCCCAACTTCAAAAACTGCAACTTCAACCACATTGGTACACTCTCGCTCTGCAGAGGACTTTCCTTCAGCCCTCTGGGCTTATTGACAAAACCAGATACCCAAAATGAGCTTCGTCACGGGCAATCATGTCAATGTCAATAGTAATAGTATCCACATTTTCAGTTACAGATCTTCTATTAGTAATGAAAAATAAAGCAATTCACTTGTTGTTGAATTTTCCAGTAAACTTGAGGGCAAAATGACAGTTCATTGAAAACATAAATTTACTGCAACAGCATTGTCATAGTAAGAAATGTGGGGATATTTTGCCTCGCACAAACTATGAGAAAAATTCTTTAAACATGATCATATGCAGAGTAGAAGCAATAATTGAAAGCAACAAAAATCCCCTCTTTTATACAAACCACTGTATTCCTAATTGGATAATCTTGATTCAATGTTCAAAATTATTATTTTTTATAAGGTTATAAATCGTGTAATTTTCACACTGTGTTATAATGATATGAAGCTTTTTTTTCACTCGTGCGAAATATCGAAAACGCATCTAATATACAGACGTCTTAAAGCAATGAATACTAAACCAAACAAACTAACTACTAAACCAACCACAAAACATTTGCAGAAAAATCAACATGATATTTATGACAGGTTGTCCATTCGATACGGAAACTGAAAGCCTATACCTTGTGAAGATCAACGTTATTGAATCCTAATGCTTAACTAACGGATACACGCGCCACAACAAGGAAACAAGCTGAACGTGTCAGTCGTGTTCCCTTTAAATTCAACATTTTAATGGATAGGGAGTGTGAGTTACATATACATATACTTTGTACCACAAATACTTTGTTGTAAGTTTCCAGTTATCAGTAGCAATAGCGTATACTGGTCATCATTTATTACTTAGAAGTGTTAAAAGTGTTAAAAGTTAAAAAAGCGCTGTATGCAAAAATAAAATTGCAATCCACAAGATATGCACATTTTCTATTTTATTTGCCAATGCTCATACTAATTTCCATAGGTCTGGTGTGCATGGCCGTTATAGAAACAAACAATTTTTAGAAGCATTCTTGTCAACAATTCGTAGTAGCAGAACAAGTGTCTTAGTAGCATCTGTATTGAAAATGATGGACTCATTTCCGATAAACAGTTATGAATAAATTTCCGATTTCCGCCCAATTTCTTTGTACCGTGATATCGTTCTGACTACGAGCAATATATTACTCACCACTCGGTACTAATTCGTATTCAAACGTTTTGTCAATATATTCATTTATTGGAACAATCTTAAAAGAAACAGTCCATCGATTAGGACACGTATCATAGGCTACTAGTCTAAAGCCGTATTTGGATAGAAAGTGATTACCACGTAAAATAAGTTCACATGTCCTCACAGAGCTACGCGTCTACAAGGACATAAGATGAAAATTAAATTTTAATGCATACTTATATCGCTACCCCACATTACTTTGCTATAAGGTATGTGGGATTCAAGAGCGAAACTATGAGGCCATCGCTTACAGGCCGGTTTTAAAAACGGGCAAATGGGTATCGATCGTGATGAATTCAATCCTAGTCCAAAATTCAATGCAAGCTTTGTGTATCTCAAATTCATTATTATTTATCTTTCTGTTTTTTCGCTAGCTTTTGTTTAGTTTTCTTTAATACTGTTAGGATTTTTTCACCCTTGTTCAGCCTTTCCTCAATTTTTCAACTTCTTTATGACGATCCAAGGAATGACTAATTCATATGATCAAACATTTTTCAAATAAATTCCATGAAACCGTCGTTCCCAAAGTGGGCGTCGCGGCGCCCAAGTGCGTCGTTTCAATTTTGCTAGGGCTTCCGTGACTTTTCATTATTTGCGGAATTGTACCTGCGGTGCATAGAAAAGTCAAGATTCTCGTTATTTTCGTTTGAATCGCACTTGAGAACTAGAGATGACAATATATTAATTATTGTAACAATCAACCTTATCTATATGTGACGTCTCTAACGTCACGGGTCATTGAATGCTGTTTCAATTATGACATCACACACACTGGCTCAGCTCGAGTCATGCATGCACTGAACTGAAAATATATGGAACGATCTTCTCTTTCGTTTTGCGTTGTCTCGCCGCGGGATCATTTGATCGCCGCCATCTTGGCATTTATGCTTCCAAAGTTTCTTCGTGTTGCATATGGATGAGGCCAGTTTTCGTCTATTTTACTACCCAGTGCGCCGCATATGGATGTATATGCGACACTTTGTGGGTACTCAAATACAATTGTATTCGAGTTGTATTTTTAGAGCCTGATGTGGATCTCGTTCTTGAAAAAATTTGGTTGTTCATGCGATTGCACATTAGATATAAGTGGAAACAATTGTTTTTGCCTGGTATCATAAAAATGCAATAACCTCCACGGGGAAGATTTCACCTAAGTCTTCAGTATGGGACGAAGAGAAGTTTAGTTGATACTGCCGTAGTCTGTGTACCAGGTTAGGCCATAACTTTATTCCGACTTTTCTTATTTTAGTTCTATTACGATTTAGGGTACTGTGCGTGTTACCCAAGTGAATATACCCTTCAGTCCCTTTACACAACTTTATGTAAAGTTGGCGAACAATATTAGTTACCTCCATATTGGTACACACACTTCTGAAGCGCCCTTTAGGATTATTTATATGTATATCTCGGGTAGGCCACTACGGCGCCAGGCCACGCAAAATACCTTCGGCGATAAAATATGGCCAAATATAGGCAAATGGGGAATCGATTCCGATAAGACATCTTGGCTGATGTTCTGTGTTCGTTTTTGTTCGCTTTTGACTGATACGTTGGCCATATTATTAACCACGACTTACGCATATTCATATAACTGCCAAAATTAGACCGTATGGTGGGCTGGGGTATATTAGCGTTTGATATATAATGAGAAACGAATCAAGAACATGCGAATATGCAAAAAAAATCGGCGCAAATAATTAATTTCTGTCAAATACCATAAGAAATGCATTGTGCGCATTGGAAAAGTTGGAAGCATATCGTCAAAACGAGAGCGGCTTCAAATTATCCCGCGAAAACGAGAGAGAAGCACACTCTATATTTATATATCTCTGTGCATGCATCTCATAAATTCTAATCCTTTCATGAACATGGGCATATCGGGCGTTGTTGAGCGACGTTCAGCACTTCGTCTACGCTTTGATTCGAAGGATTCAATATTGAAACCACGGTATTCTCTTCAGGCATGATTTAAATAACTCATTGCAAAAGAGACATTTTTCACGGAGGGTCGCAACTTATTCACATTTTTCAGAGGGCGTCACAATACCAAGAAGTTCGAGAACCACTGCCCTAAAAGGAAATAGATGGCACACATTCATGCGTTTTAAGGATCATAATAAGATAAAATATGGAGTATTGGAAAATAAAATGTACACAATTAGGATTATTTCATCAAAAGCTGTACAAAACGGAAGAAATGACTGCCGTATTATTTTGAATAGAACAGGGGTGTGCAACCTCTATTACAGGAGGGCCAGACACAAATAACTGGATGAAGCCGCGGGCCGCACCTTTATTTAAGATAGCCTTTATAGTAGTTGCAGGCACAAAAAATTCTTTCTTGTTGTTATTAATCTTACGGCATTGTTAAGGGTCCTAGCAGAAATGGTTGGTTAAAACGCATACATTTCTAAAGAAAACTGCTATTCAAATTTATTGTCACGCCGACTTTAAACGAATTCAGTGAGAAACACGTTTTTATAACATTGTGTATTTTGCAACAGGATTTTGCCAACTAATTTTACTAATATGACAGTGGCACTCAGGTACTGGTATAGGCTTTGCGGCGCAAAGAGATTGGAATTGCTCGCACGTAAATTAAAATCTAGTTTTGCGGACACACCATTCAAAATTGGCACTTCATCGCGAGCCGAACTTTTTTTTCTTGCGGGCCGCAGTTTGCACACCCCTGGAATAGAATACTAGGAGAAACGATAAAAGATGAAAGGGTGGTTGGTAATAAAAAAAGACAAATAAACGTCGAAGAAATCTGGGAAACGCTCAGATCATTCAAAGAAAACATGACACCAGGACTGGATAGACTTAATATTGAATCTTACAAAAAATTAAATGGAATATCATAAAGCAGTGATGTGCAAACTGCGGCCCGTGTGCCAAATGAGGCCCGCAAGGAAAAATTGTGAGGCCCGCGAAACGAAGTTTTAATTTAGTTTGATCTGTTACATGCGAAGTTCAATCCAATCCCTTTTGCTTCGCAAATACTACTATACCTGAGTCCAATTTGTTATCTATACCTATGATGTTACAATGTCCTATCAGCTAGCTTCTGTGAAGCAACATCGAGATTCGCAAAGCTATCACTTGCTAAGCAGCGAGCAAAAGAAAGTGTGGAACAGGAGCTAATAACAGTCAATTGAAGTTAGTTAACTTTCTCCGGGCCCCTTTATCTTTTAGCAGTGGGAAAAATCTGATATTTAGTGAAAGCAATACTTTTAGGTCATATATGATAAATTTTTAAAAATTTTCGACACTCCGACTCCCTGGGGGGATTTACCGGATGTTGCACTAGTGCAACTTGTGCCCGGAAGGGACTAATTGTAAGATATCACATGTATGTTTTTTTAATCTGCAATACTTTGTAACATGGCCAGTATATATACTACGATGGTTGAAAATATTAATGGGAGTGTCAAACTTATTCATGGCTCAATTCAAAACTCCAATAATGAATAAAAGGCGCATTAAAATGTAAACAAATCTTAATATAGATCATGTTTTTGCACTCT